AAATAGGCTGAAAAACAGCTGCTATCCCAAGGCAGTAACTATATTGAATTCTGTAGTGCAATATCGGGTTTTTAATTTCAATTATATAGAATGCAAAGGATGCATATTTGTGTTCTTATTTTTATAATTGTAATGTACACTGAAGATGGCATTTAATTTTGTTGTACCATGTACAATGACAATAAAGTAGACTAAACCTTTGCATCCTTTCTTTAATATATTCTATTCCACCACTTCTTTGATATTATGTGACTTTTGTCTCGCTGCAAGTTGCCCTACAGGAAAGTTGGCTGTGGCGAGTTGTCCTAGATCCTTGTATGCATGCAGAATGTAGGCCAAAGTTGCAGTAACTCCTCTCTAGAGTGCATTTTACTGCAGGAAGCCAAGGCAAAATGCCTCTAAAAAGTCTAAGAGGTTGTATTTTCTACATGCCTTTTCTCATCCCTTCTATCCACCTACTCCAGAGGTGGGTCCCTACCAGTTCACACCTATTCGGTAGAACCGGTTCGTCAAATCTACCGAACCGGTTAGAAGAGGTTCCACCAGTGGACCCGGAAAGCAGGCCACACCTACAGAAGAGGTTCCAGAATTTTTTGAAACCCACCACTGCATCTGGGATGCCAAATTGTTGGAAGAAACGTCCTTCTGGGTTCAGTTCCAAGTGGAGGAATGCACAGAACGTGAAAAAATTACAGAAAAAAAAAAAAACGGCAGCGGAAACCTGGGAATCGGTTCGGGGGGGGGTGGCTAGCCTGGGTTGCTGTCAGTTCTGTAGCCAAGGTCAAAATATCACTAATGGTTCACCTGAACCGGTGCGAACCAGTAGCAACCCACCTCAACCATGCCCAGTTCCTGCAACCGTTCATCATATTTTTTGGCCTCCAGACCCCTGATCAAGCTAATCAAGGAGAGATTCAACCTAGAAATAAGGATTTCCTGACACTGAGGACAATTTATCAGTGGACTGGCTTTCCTTCAGAAGTTGTGGGCGCACTGGAAGTTTTAAAGAAGAGATGGGACAACCATTTTGTCTGAACTGATAGAGGGTTTCCTGCCTGAGCAGGGGGTTGGACTAGAAGACCTCCAAGGGCCCTTCCACCTCTGTTATTCTGTTCTAATCAAGGAGAGAAGCAAGTTAGAACTAAGGAGAAATATCACAACAGTGAGAACAATTAACCAGTGGGACAGCCAGCCTGAGCAGGGGGTTGGACTAGAAGACCTCCAAGGGCCCTTCCAACTCCGTTATTCTCTTACTAGCTGGATACCTGTGCTTCGGGATGAAACTATATGATCGAGCTATGCAGGAGAAATTCGGTTCACATTCTGTTGTTTCAGTGGTGGTCGGTGATTGAAACACACAAGGGAATATCGCTCCCGCCGCCTTGAGTCCGGAATCAGTTCCATAGGTGGAGGGCGTAGACATTTTGGTGAGGTACCAACATTTAGTACTGTAAGGAGCCCCGGACCGCTCCTGAGTGAAGGAGTGGAACATCCGCCCATTTGAACTGAGGTAACGGAATGTGAGGCAATTGGCAGTTGGGACAGAGTTCTTTTCAGGTGGGGAGGGCGAGTAGAATGTCTAACTCCTTAGCATCAAAGCATACTAATTACTGTAAAAGAAATACTGATGATCTGATGGTTCTTTCTAAAAATCCTAGAAACCTCGTTCATGGAGTCAACAGCCCCAGGCCTGCCGGAATAGCCAGGTTTTAGTGGCTTTTCGGAAGGCNAAGCCAACCGACTTTGAGTCAGTCCCCATTTCAGCCCAACCCACCTCGCAGGGCTGTTGTTGTGGGGAAAACAGGAGGAGAAAGGAGCCTTACCTCTATTTGCTACCCTCGAGTTACAAAGACAGGATTAAAGACCGAATAAATAAAAATAAATCCATAGATGAGGTAGAAGAAACCGATTTGGAAGCCTCCTTTGGCCGCCAGTTTTACTGGTCCTAAATCCCTCTTTTCAGGATCGAAACTTTGAACGGTGGCTCAAACTAGCTGCATTTCCCATCCTTGGCAAGTTTACTTCTGCCAGTGGGTCGTCCCCCCCGCTCACCCCCACGTCTTAGAAGTTGAAAAATGCTGATTTCAAGGCCCTGTCAATCAGCTAAAAATCTGATCCAAAAACCCAGAAGCGGAAAACGGGGGCCGCGAATCTGAATTTCAGATATATTTTTTTTGAACCGCTATTAAATTCAAATTAATCTGACTTTTGCCTCCCTGCGGTCGGAAGGTTTGACCCCCTAGGTTAAAGTGGCCAATCAGCAAAAAAAGAAGGTGCCGATTTTTTTGGGGGAGGAGGGGGGCTTCTCCCTCCCTCCCCCTCCCCGGTGCGAAATGAAATGAACAGAGAAGATCAGCGTTTTAGGGAAGACAAACCTTCAGGCGTTTCATCCAGAGAAAAGGGTGTGTTTTTTCCCCTCCCTTTTTTCATCCTAGATCTTTGGAAAACATTTCCTCCGCTTCTTGTCTAAGGTGCAAAATTGTAGGGAAGGGGATAAAAGTGGAGGGCAGCCTCTAATTTCCCCATCAAAGCCCATCCAGGAGTTGTGCTGAACCAAGCAGAAAGCCTTTGACTTCAAGCTAAGAATAAGATCTCTCCGGAAACTATTTAAAGGAATAAAGTGTTCTCCTCAAGTACCAAAAACGCTTCATCTCGGCTTCTCGGTGGAAAAAGGCTGCTCGGGAAGATGGTTTAACGGCGGACGGGGCCGCATGGTTTGAGGACCACATGTTTCCAGATGTTGGGCGAAGAAAGAGAAGAAGCTAAGACTAGCATGCCTTAATCCCATCCCCCTGGAGCTGAAGGGAGGGAGATCTTTGTTATGTAGAATAGACTGGCTTAGGCCTTTTAATAGCCCATTGACAAAGGGGGGGGCTATGAAGAGTGAGTCTGTTTACATGGGCCATGTTACATTGGTTAGGTTAGCTTGGAGTCCCATCTGGGATGCCAAATTGTTGTGCGAAATCTCCTTCTGGGTTCAGTTCCAAGTGGGGGAAAAAGATACTGGAAACATGGAGGCTGCTCGGAAAGATGGCTTAATGATGGACAGCAGCACATGGTTTGATGACCACATGTTTCCAGATGTTGGGCGAAGAAAGAAAAGAAGCTAAGACTAGCATGCCTTAATCTCATCACCCTGGAGCTGAAGGGAGATGTTTGTTATGTAGAATAGACTAGCTCTGGCCTTTTGATGGCCCATTGACAAAAGTGCGGGGGCTATGAAGAATGAGTCTGTTCACCTGGACCAGGTCCATTGGTTAGGTTAGCTTGGAGTCCCATCTGGGAAGAGGTGGGTTCCTACCCAGTTCGCACCAGTTCGGTAGAACCGGTTCGTCAAATCTACCGAACCGGTTAGAAGAGGTTCCACCAGTGGACCCGGAAAGCAGGCCACACCTNTATTTAAATGGTTGTCCACTAGGACTCCAAGATCCCCCCCACAGTTACTACTGTTGAGAAAGGTACCACCTATACTGGACCTGTGCACTTCGTTTTTCTTGCCTAAATGTAGACCCTTACTCTTTTCACGGGGTGGACGGCAGCCATAAGTCCAACAGGGGCAGCTGCCCTCCCCGTTTTACCGTGTTTGACGTTGTCCAGCCATTCCCCAACGTAGCGGTCTCCGTTGACGGCGTAAACCGTGTGCCTCAACCCGCATTTCTGCGCCTTGCGATCCCATTCGTACCAAAGGGGTTCAACTCTTCGGGGGTATTTCACGAAGGGCATCTCGTCTGGAGCCGAGAAAAGAAGGGGTGGGGAGAGAGGGAAAGAGGGAGCCATCGCCTGGAGTCCGGAGGTGAAGGCCCCAGCCCTGAATTGATGCGTGATTTATTTTATTAAATCTATGTGCTGCCCACCTCACCGTTACAGCCCCTCTGGACAAACTTACAGCATAATAAAAAGGGAAGACGAAAATGGAAGGTGACATAAAGACTTTTAAGAAAAAAAGCAAGAGGAGAGGTAATGTGGGGCTGGCAATCCGATTGGAGGGCTGAGCGCCCCTAAATGGAGTTGAAATGAGAAAGGGGAGTCAAGGAAGGAAGGAAGGAAAGAGAGAGAAAGAGGAAGGAAGGAAGGAAGGAAGAGAGAAAGAAAGAAAAAAGAAGGAAAGCAAGGAAGAGAAAGAAGGAAAGAGAAAGAGAAGGAATGAAGGAAGAAAAGACAGGAAGGAAGGAAAGGAAAGAAGAAAGAAACTGGAAGTTGGAAGGAAAAGGAAGGAAGAAAAGAGAGAAAGCGAAAGGAAGGAAGGAAGAGAAAGAAAAAAGGAAAGGAAGGAAGAGAATGAAGGAAAAAGAAAGAGAAAGGGAAGGAAGGAAGGAAGAAAAGACAGGAAGGAAGAAAAGGAAAGAAGAAAGTGGAAGATGGAAGGAAAAGGAAGGAAGAAAAGAGAGAGAAAGAAAGGAAGGAAGAGAGAAAGAAAGAAAAAAGGAAAGGAAGAGAAAGAAGGAAAAAGAAAGAGAAAGGGAAGGAAGGAAAGAAGAAAGAGAAAGTGGAAGATGGAAGGAAAAGGAAGGAAGAAAAGAGAGAGAGAAAGGAAAGAAGGAAGAGCGAAAGAAAGAAAAAAGGAAAGGAAGGAAGAGAAGGAAAGAGAAAGGGAAGGAAGAAAAGACAGGAAGGAAGGAAAGGAAAGAAGAAAGAGAAAGTGGAAGATGGAAGGAAAAGGAAGGAAGAAAAGAGGAAGGAAAGAAAGGAAAGAAAAAAAGGATATGTAGGAAAGAAAGGAAGGGGGGAAAAGAAAAGAAAAAAGTCATTGCAGTCTTAATGAGGAAAGAAGCATGATTGGAAAAACCGAAAGGCTTCTCATATGGAGCAGCTCCTGCCACGGTTCGCCGATCAGAGGGGAACAAGACCACTTCTGAACATGCGCAGAGTTCTTGTCAATTACCCATAGGCAGCCACGACCACACCACCTGCGGGAAAGGCTGCCCCCTATAACCCATCGCCAGGGGCTTCTGGTGGCTGCATTTGGCCAACATAATTTCCGATGAAGTTTCAATATTGTCACCTGTCCTGATTCCCACCTGCTCTGGGCTCTTCCTCCAGGGGAGCTGAAAGGACCCCCCTTCGGCTGGGCGGACATCCCGCCCTCATCAGCCTTGGTTGGTTAAACCGCGATGCCCAGCTACGGGGCGAACCCGCCGAGCCCCACCTCGTCGAGCCAATCGCTCGGCCCCCATCTGTGACCCTGGTTGGAGGTCAGCATCTCCGCGCCCTCAAAAGTGAGAGCTTTACCTGCCAGGCACCTGTTTCTGTTCTTAGCACCTGGGAGCGGAGGTGATTCCGAGGGGGATGTTCCTTCTGCTGCTCCTCCCTTCTCGCCACCGTCCCCGAAGCAGCCCTGTTGGTGTGGCCCTTCCGAGGAGCAGGGCTGAGGGATCCTGTCCGGGCTCCTGAGGTCATCACGACATCAAGAAGCTGCCCTTATGATGAGGCACTGATCTCCCTGGAGATCGCAGACCTGTCTGCATCTTCCAGGTCCAGCACACCTGGATGGATGCTGATGAGGCTGAGGTAGCCCACCTTCCATGGGACTCTCTCTCTCTCTCTCGCAGGGAGAGGGAGCCCAGCCAGGCAGACCCCCCTCAGCCCATCCTTCATGCCCCTTCCATGGCTTTCTTCCAGAGTCTTGGGGGGCTCTTCAGAACCTCAGGAAGCCCCCCGCCCCAAGCTACGTCTTCTCTATTGATGTGGGGCCCTAGATGGGACCAAGAAGATCTCATCACCCTAGACTAGACCAGTCTTTCTCAACCTGGGCAATTTGAAGATACGTGGACTTCAATTCCCAGAATTCCCCAGCCAGGAAATTCTAGGAGTTGGAAGTCCGCATGGCGGGGGAAATCTGGGAATTGAAGTCCAGATGGCTGGAGAATTCTGGGAATTTAAGTCCGCATGGCTGGGGAATTCTGGGAGTTGAAGTCCAGATGATGGGAATTTTGGAAGTTGAAGTCTACCTGGCTGGGGAATTCTGGGAACTGAAGTCCAGATGATGGGAATTTTGGAAGTTGAAGTCTACCTGGCTGGGGAATTCTG